ATTCCATTTGCCTCTGCACCATTTTGTTTCTTCTTCTTCATACATTTGAATGCCCAAGCTGATAACCCAGGAAGGAAGGAAGGAAGATGGAGATTATGTTCTGTGGCAGGGAGCGCTGGTTGCCAGCTACAGGTGGTCCACAGGTTTGAGTGACTAAATCGATGCTGTACTAGAAAGCCTGCATCATATAGTAGATGGCAGGGTGACCTTTGTCATTAGTTACGCTCTGTTAACTTCCAGATTTACTGCTCATTAAAACCAAGAGACCAGGATTAACTGAATCTGGAACCTGCTGGATCTCTTCTCCTACACTTGCCAGTGCACTTTTGCCCCAGTCTGGCCATCTCGAGTAAAGCCATTCTCCAGAGCTATGACACTGAGGTGGTATGCTGCTCTGCTACACTTCTGCAGGTTCATTTGTTTCTGCATTGCCAGAGCTCAATTGTAGCTGTCTTTCCACTGAATGTCACTGCACAGACTCCCCACGCAGGAGGCACAAGCTGGGATGCCTTGCAGGCAATGAAGAAAAACTCAGGACAATCCACTTAGAGCACCTGTACATTCTGATGAGATCTTGCCCACGGCACTAGCCTACTTCATATTTACATAGGGCCAAACTACAAAGTAACACTTTACATGAGCTTGAAATGGGGAACTTGCACTGGTGGCAACTCCTGTGTGAAACTGCAATAGGGGCCTGATACAGTTCGGGACTGTGTCGTGGGGGGAGGAGGGGCTCCTTCTGCCTCCTCACCATTTCCAGGAGTCAGAACGGCCCCGGGATGGGCTTCTGTTGGAGCAAATTCCCCTGTAATCGGCCATAGGCTAGTTAGGCCACCTCTGGCCTGCTGATGCAAATCCAGCATTCCCGCAGTGGCTCTCCCCACCCCAAGAATTTCCTTTTAGGAAACGGCATAAGAAGAGACCAGCAGGCTGTAACAGCCAGTGGCCCTCCCCATTAGCACAGTCTTTAGGAAGGCATTGGAAGTGTTCCCCAACAGTACACACACCTTCTTCATTGGGGCTGTGTCTCAGTAGCAGACTCTCTGCCTTGAATGTGGAAGGTCCCAGATTCAAGCCCTGGCATCTCCAGTTAAAATGTTTGGATCGTAGGCAACATGCTTGCTTGTTACCTACCTAACATCGTAGGTAGGATGAGCTTCTGCCCAAGACCCTGGAGAGCTGCTGCCAGTCTGAGTAGACAATACTGACCTTGATGGACCAGTGGTCTGATTCACTATAAGGCACCTTCATGTGTGAACCCATGGCCTGTCTTCCTTCTAACTGAGACATTCACATTCACTTTGGCAGAGAAATCCTAACTGGTGGTGAGTGGTGGGCTGCAGGAAGGCATGATCTTGCAGCCTCACAGGTCACACTACACCGTGGTTCCCACGCAACGTTGCTTGTGGAATGGTGGACAGTCGTTTCCCCCACACCTTCCCCAGGTAGGAGAACTTTTGCCCAGGTTGGAGGCTGCGTCGGGTCCTCAAGACATCCTGGTATAAACAGCTGTCTCTCCCTTCTCCGCTGCCTTTCCTTCACATTTGCTGCCCGGTCTTCTCTCGCCCAGTTCCTTCAAGGGTGCCCAACCCTTTCAACATTTTTGCCCACTTTCCTTCCCACTCCTGGAGTGCCTCTCGCACTGAGCGGGCAGAGCTGTCCCACTGATCCAACCCAGAAACGGTTGCAGTCTGAAAAAAACCTTGAAAATCCTCTTACACAACTGCTTTGGCAAGCCCTTCCGTGTCCCAACAAAAATCAAACTGTGCTGGCCGTTTGTCTCAGGAATCCTGTATTAATAAACATGAAGACGAGCACTCCTTACCTCCCACACTCAGTGACAGAGGAAAACAAAAGCCAGCTGTAGTCCTCAATGGATCCTTGTTCCCTGCATAAAGGACTAATTACATTTTATTTCAAGCCTACACATGGAAAACTTTAGCGATGCCGTCTTGTCGATTGCAGCTTCTGGTATTCCAGCTGACGTGCTGCAAAGCCCCCCCCCCCCCAATTAACACGTTCGTTGCTTCAGATGCAGCCAAGATAAAAAACTTGGGGTGGAATGGCAAGGCACCCAAGAAAGTTTCTTAGAGGGCAAATGCTTCGGGTGCATTGAGACCATTTGGAGGAGCTACTCTTTAAGAGCAACACCACAGCCCCAAGCCAAAGTTCATGCAATCGTGTTTGCTCACATTCACCCCTCGTTTTTCCCTCCAGGGATTAAACCAGGGACTTTCTATATGCAAAGCAGATGCTCATCCATTGAGCCATACCCCCGTCATTGCTCACAATACTGTCTTGCTGTGCCCACTATATTTGTGTGTGTGTGTGTTTTCTGCATGCACGTGTATGTGCACATACGGGATATATACACACATAACTTTGCCAACCGATGGTTCCTGCTTCAGGCCCCTGACAAAGCAGGACTCTGGTGTATGCCCCAGTAAATGTGGGCATCTCTAAGATGCTGCAAGACGCTTTTTGGGTTTTTACTACTAATGCTAACAGTAGTAGCAGTAGTAGTGGTGGTGGAGGAGGAGGTTTTCGTTATCCTCTCTCAAACAGTTCTTCTAGAAACTAGCCAAACGCAGAGTTTTCACCTTGCTTTCCACCCTGGAATACTTACAAAGACGATGAAACAGAGAAGTCCACATATGAAAACCACAACTGAAACCAGGCCGGTAGCCGTAGGAAAGAATCCCACAAGGCCTCGGTCGTTTTTTGAGAATTAGGCAAGGAAACAAGCACACAACAGACACATTCTGTTTCCATTCTACTTTCTGCTTCCCTTGAGTGTAAGCCTGGCCATCATTAAAGAGGTTCAACCCTTCCTGGGTAGAAAGACGCCTTGCACGGCCTAAGCCTGGGTACAGAACTGATCGGACTTTTTAAAAACTCATAAGGCGCTGGTATCAAAACCGCATGTCTGCCACTGACAAGAGGCCTGTCTTGTAAAACTGGGTGGCTTGCAAACTTTCTGGCATCTCGAAACACTTTCTATACCCACCTGCCTGCCCCAGAAAGCCCATGTGCTGGCAGAGGGTTCTTGGGAGTGTTCTAGGGTGTACACTCAGATCGCTTGGGGAGCAGGCTGGCCTACGGGACCTCGCTGGAGGCCCCATTAACTGAGGAGAACCCCTCAAACATATTCAATGCTCCCTACGGCTGTGTGTTCACAGTGACACCTCAGTAGTAGGGTAGAGAAGTGGTCGTTCAGGTAGGTTTGTCTGCCATAATTGGCTTCCTTGTTGAAGAATGCTTCTGAGGAACCCTTAGGGTTTTCCAGAAACACAATCTGAAAGTCCCTGATGCAGCTTCTGGTAATACCTACACTCTTTTACAACCACAAACACTTCAGCCCCTGGCTCGACATACATTCAAAAGGATAAAACCCTGGCAAGATCGCTTCCTCCTTTCATCCCAAGGCTAGTGAGCAACTCCCTAGAGACACACTGTGACCTCTCAGTGACCCAAGATAATCAGCAAGCCCAGTTGAAACCCTCTGGAGTTCTTGTTCAGGTTATGTCCATATTGCGAAATTGTTAGCTGCCTTGGGACCAAAAGCCAGCAAAAAGTAAAAGGAAACATAAATAAAATGTAGACAGGGGGGGTCCGTTATTACATGATTAGGAAAACAAAGAAGAACCCTGGGATAATGGCCTTGATGTAACCACCAAACCTGCTCTGGGTAAACCAATTTGTACCTGTACACTTAAGGGGGATTGAAGGGGACAGGGAGAAGAGGCTAAAACTTCAGCAGAAGGGGTGGGGGGGGGATACAGTAGACAGAATGAACAGAAAAGAAAGAGGACCCAAAGTTCACACACCTTATTGAACACTTCATATTAGTATGAGGTTTAGTTTCACGGGTCCAAAACAAGTAGGTTTACCAGCAGGCTCTCTCCTGTTTTTGCAGTGGGAGTAAATGGGTGGGGGGATGACATCACAGACATGGTGATGTGATGTCGCTTCTGGGCACTGCACAAGGCTCTAGGAATCTGCCCAATGTCTATGTACCATAGTGATTGGGGAGATTCCTAGAGCATCATGAGGCACTCCCCCCCCAATGCCTCACCCCCCCACACACTCCCAGACCTGACAACCCTAAGTGCAACCTGTGCTCTCTACAGCTCCATCACCAACATCAGGGCATCAAGATCATGTTGCAGGAGCCATTAAAAATGATTAAGTCCCATTCCAGTTTGAGATGGAGCCACATGGGATGGTGATCATGCTCCCCGTAATGTTAAAACCACCTTCCTTGAATCTGCACAAAGCTTAGCTGCCACCAGGGCTTTTTTGGTAGAAAAAGCCCAGCAGGAACTCATTAGCATAATAGGCCACACCCAACACCAGGAACTCATTAGCATATTAGGCCACACCCCTGGCAGCACAGCATATTAACATATTAGGCCACACCCCCATGTTACCAGAAGTGTGGTCATCCAGCCACACCCACCTTTTGCTTCTTATTCTGTTCACCTTGCTTGTGGTCAAAACCCAGGGCCTTTTTTGTAGCAGGAACTCCTTTGCATATTTAGGCCACACACCTAATGTAGCCAATCCTAATGAGTTTCTGCTGCTGGGTGTGGCCTATTATGCTAATGAGTTTCTACTGGGCGTGGCCAACTCGGGAGCCAGCCGGAACTCCGTCCCTGTGCGTTCCTGCCCAAAAATAACCCTGGCTGCCACCATCCCATAGTGGGTTCCCATTCCCAGCAGAGTGCGTGTGAAGATTTATGTCCACATGGGTCTTGGATTTTACATAAAACATGCAGCCAACGTGGAAGACATAGAGTGTGTTACTTAAGTGTACCATCAGGAAGAACTACACAAGCAGAAGTCGTTCTATGGGTCTAGACTGAGATGAGATAGATCATGCAGAATCAGGCCTAACTTAGCAACTGCATCTAGAGTCAGGCCTTCCCTTCCCCAACAAGAGGAGGTTGGATTAAACCAATGCAGGGCACAGGCGACAGAAGTCCAAGCAGCCTTACTTTGCAGTGGTCTCCTCGTCGTATTTTGTCTTCAGGTCAAACAACTCCGTCCGCGTCTTCTCCAAGGCTGAAGGGGAAGAAGCACAAAGAGACATCACGGACGTGCAAGGAGTTGCACACTGTACCGGGGGGGCCTCAGCTTGGTTAATAGTGAGCTATAAACTGTCCTCCATCTGAAAACCCGTCTCGCATTAAACCTTCTCCCTGACCAAACAAAATCACATCGGAGAAAAAACAAACTCTTAAAAGCTTTTCCAAATTCTTTCCTTTAAAAGAAAAAAAGGGGAGAGAAAGAAAGAAAGCCATGCCCCCTGTCTTTCAAGAGCAGTGAAAGTTTCCAGATACGGCCCTGGCTCGGTCTCGCTAAGCACGCCCGTATTCTGTTTATAGATCTGCTCTGTGACGTGAACCGTTGAGGCCTGAAAGTCCGGGAACCGGCTTTGGCTTCAGAGGGGAAAGCAGCGAGGCTGGCTACAGCATGGATAGCCAAGCATGAGCAGGTACGTTAAAAGAGCCAATAGACAAGCCGGTGATAGGAAGGGACTGCTAGCAGCGGGAGACGGGCAAAGGGAGCGCAGCAGAGTCCTGCCACTGCTGCTGCACACTCTGGGGGAATGGAATGCAGGTCACTAACAACATTTTCTCCGGGGGAACTGATCTCTGTAGTCTGGAGATCAGTTGTACTTTCGACCACCGCTGTCAGGCTTCTCTGAGGATCTTAGATACAGCTGGGCACACGGTCTTTGGCAGCAGAAGGTCTGAAGTAGAAAGGGAAGCCCTTTCCTGACAGGGCACCAGCTTGGTCACAAGATTCATATGGTCCCTATCTGTCTGTTCATCACTATTATCAGGGAGTCAGTACAGTTTAACAGTTAAGAGTGTTAGACTTGAATTTCCCCCTGTCCTACGAAGTTCACTGGGAGACAACGGTCCATTCTTTCTTTGCCGAAATTACCTTGCAGGGTTAAGATGGGGAGATAAAATAGAGGTGGGGGCGGGGAGCCATGTACGTCACCCTGGGCTCCTTGAAGGAAGGACAGGGTGATGATAGCTAGATTGTCATGGAATGAAGAGGCTTTCAACTAATGCCAGTTGAATGGGTTGGTTCATATTTGGCATCTTTTGCAGCTGCGGTGGTCACCACACACCTTGCTCAGATGGGTACAAGGCAACGTGTGAAGCAGTGATAACTGTTTTGGCCCCCAAAGATTTGCCTCAGCAAAGTCAGAGACACCCCAGCCCAGCAATGTTCCCTCTAAGCCGTGGAGTCTTGTGAGCAGAAATTCTACTTTGTGAGCTACTGGCATTAAAATTCTGAGCGAGTGATTTGGCTACTGCATAAATTAGTTTGCTCTGGAGTCATCCTTTCTGAGCTAAGACAACAATCTGTGAGCTGGAGGCCAAAAAGCTGTGAGCTAGCTCACACTAACTCAGCTTAGAGGGAACACTGCACCCCACCTCGTTCTCTGGTGAGTGGGTGAGGGAACGATCCCCACATCTGCAAAAATGGTGCCCCAGAATGGACCTTGCACTCCTCCTGGGGTCCCACTATGCTATATGCAGCAACCATTTGTAAACTCTTGAAAAGCGTCACATCAATAGAGACCCTCTGAAATGGCCAGCTGAAACGCACCTTCCCATTTTTCTACCTGGCGTTCTCTGTGGCAGGGTTTTGCATCAGAACCGCTGCTTAACCACGCACACCTCAATCAGGGGTTTGCCAACCAGTTTCTGTCCAGATTCCATAGCTAACCATGGTTAGTGTTCACTGGAAACGACACTGGTGCTGGTGGAATGATTGAAGCACAGAGAGGCTAACCAAAAATGAGTGTGGGGGGAGGGCAGGCCGGAAGTGAGCGCGGTGTCCCGTGTCATGCTCCCTATCTCTTGTAACTCTAGTCTCTGTGACAGGACAGAAGTACAATGGATGTCCACCCCTTCCCCCCTGACCAAGCTGCACAAGTCCAAGTCACAGGAAGAGAAAATAGCAAACCTGTTTGTAGAGTTTGCACTTTGTGTTCGGCCTCCTCCAGCTTTGAGGCTGTCGACATCTGCGTCTCTTGCAGCATTCTGGAAAAAGTAAGAGAACCAAGTCTGACAAAGAGGCCGACTTAAAAATAAACTGTTGTCAAACAAACTAACACCATTCTGTATGGTTAGGGACGAAACCGATACGTCCCTTGCCACTACAAGTCGGGCTCCTGGATGGCAACACGTGTTAAGGACACTTCATAAAGGTAAAGGTTCCCTTGCTCGAAAGCCAGTCGAATCCAACTCTAGGGCTGCGGTGCTCATCTCCGTTTCAAAGCCGAAGAGCCAGCGCTGTCCGAAGACGTTTCCGTGGTCATGTGGCCGGCATGAGTAAACACCAAGGCGCACGGAACGCTGTTCCCTTCCCACCGAAGTGGTACCTATTTATCTACTTGCAATTTCTTGCTTTCGAACTGCTAGGTATCAGAATGTTATTTGGGAGGCCACGTATCAAACTAAGAACAGGAAAGCCAGAGAAACTGCAAGCCCCAAGTCACGGTGGCAAAAAAGAATATCCACCATTGCAATGCAGGACTGTCTCCTTCCTTCCTTAGTAGTAGCAACTGGAGACACTGTAGCTCTGAGACAGAGCATATGCTGTGCATACCGAAGACACAAAGATGAATCTTTGGAATTTCCAGACAAAGTGTAGCAGAGTTCATAAATTATATTTATTGTTTTACTTGCTTCTTTCAATAGTTTACTTTTCTCATTGACACAGAAGATAGATTACAAAATAACACAGTTTTGATTCCCGAATCCCTGGAGAGCTGCTGTCATGCTGAACAGAAAATGCTGGGCTTGATGGACCTGTGGTAAAGGTAAAGGTTCCCTTGCTCGAAACCCAGTCGAATCCGACTCTAGGGTTGCGGGGCTCATCTCCGTTTCAAAGCCGAAGAGCCAGCGCTGTCCGAAGACGTTTCCGTGGTCATGTGGCCGGCATGACTAAACACCAAGGGGCACGGAACGCTGTTACCTTCCCACCAAAGTGGTACCTATTTATCTACTTGCAATTTCTTGCTTTCGAACTGCTAGGTTGGCAGGAGCTGGAACTAGAGACAGGAGCTCATCCCGTCTTGCGTCACCCGGGTCTTGAACTGCTGAACTACTGACCTTCCACAGCCTGCAGTTCAGCGTCTTAACCACTTGAGCCACCGCAGCTCCTTTGGACCTGTGGTAGGACTCCATTTACAACGGCTCTGTACGTCCATCAGAAAGAATTTACAGCTAGGCTTTTCCTCCGTTTAGCTAAAGGGCCTGCAGCTCAGTGGTTAAATACATCCTTGCATGCAGAAGGTCCCAGATTCAGTCCCTGGTACCCCTACAGTTCCAAGATCTCAGGTGCTGGACAAAATCTGGAAAAATACTCTTCAACATCCAATAATGCGTGATGCTGTAATTATGAAGCAATCTCAGCCTGACCATTAATCTGCCAGAGGAGCTCAGAAAGAGAACACCAAACAGTTCACCTGTTAACTTGAGGAGCTAGCCAGAGGGACTTGATGCATAGGTCTGGGGAAGGGTCTGCATCACACATACAACAGTAGGGGTGCTTTTGATGCATAGGATCAGTATGATAGATCACCTTCCAGCCAACCTGAGCCTGAACATTTTTATACAGCTGGTGGTGCCACGTCAGCTAGCCAAATCTGACTGATTTATAGACGCCATGCATGGAAAAGATCCATGCCATGAATGCCCAATGAAGACGAGAAGCTGAGAATGCCCAATGAAGACGAGAAGCTGGCAAACAGGATGTTTCCTCAACAGCTCTTGGGAACAATGCAACTCCATTTCACTTGCCATCTCTTTCTATGGCTACCTTAAGGACAAACAGCATGTGACACACACAACGTGCAAAAATATATATTTAGCAATGCTGAATAGAGGTCTGCAAAAAAAAAAAGCCAGTATTTTTCAGGTTTGGGTACCTTGGTTTCAGGTTTTGAACCCTCTAAAAACCAGTACTTTCCAGTATTCCCAGTTGCCAATACTGGTATGGTATTCAAATTCTAGTCAATGGTCCCGATATTGTATAATAGAGAATCAATCTAGGGCCCCGGTCACACGGGCCAGATAACACCAGGGGGAGGCGTGGCTGTTCGCCCTGGAGCAAAATAAAGCACGGTAGCCCGATCACACGGTCCCCCAAGTCTCCGCGCTTAGGCTGTTAGCTGGCGATCACACGGCGATGCTGGAGCGTGACAAAAAAGTGGTGCGGCAAGCGTTTCACGTTTGTGCGCATGCGCAGTTCCGCGGACCAGCACTGCTTTCAGTTACGTGTTTGTGCACATGCGCTTACGAAAAACATCCGGTTTGCTACGGGACATGGACGGGTGCTGGATGCCACAGGATACTAGTGCTCCCGCGATCAGATGCCTGCCCCTGCCATGTGTTTTCTGGATACTAGTGCACTTTCTGCAGTACTTTTTTACTGCGCCATCTTCAGCAGGACACCACGGGTTGGCCACGGGTGCGCTATGCTTCCCGGATATTGCGGTGTGATCGCGCCCCAAAAATCCGCCTGACATTCATGGCTTTAGTGCAGCAAATCCTCCGTGTGAATGGGGCCTAGGGGTATCTGGGGCTGGGGGGGGGGCTGTTTTTTGAGGTAGAAGCACCAAATTTGCAGCACAGCTGCTGGTGCGTCTCCTCAACCCCCACCCCCCAAGTTTCAAAAAGATTGGTCCAATTCTATGGGCCCCCCAAAGGTGCCCCCATCCTCCATTTGTTTCCAATGGAGAGAGAAAGTTGCACAACTCTGAAGAGGCATTTAAAGGGCTCACAGCCCCTTTAAATGCCTTCTCTAAGCTGAGAGTTTAGAGCTATTGTGGGGTTATTACCTACTCCAACAGATGCTAGTGACTAACAAAATTTGTGGCAGTCCATGAGCTTTTGTGAGTCACTGCTCACTTCTTCAGATGTTAGTGAAATTGTGATCTGCTCAAAAAAAGACTATTTGATGTGTTTACGGCCTAAACGAGATTTAAATGGAGAACTTTCTTGCTCAGTGCTTACAATCTTACCAGCGTCCCAAGCTGCCTTATTCCAAGCCAGTCTGCTGGTCCACGCAGGTCAACACTGTCATCTCTAACTGGCAGAGGCTCTTAAAACAACCCTGAAAGGTCCTCCCGCAAAAAATGCTACCTTGGACCCTCTGAAACGGAGATGCCAGGGACTGGATCTGAAAACTTCTGCAAGCAAAAGTGTGTGCCCTGATACAAGTGGATAACAGTGGAATCAGCTGCCTAGGAGGTAGTGAGCTCCCCCTCACTGGCAGCCTTTAAGCAGCGTCTGGACAAACACTTTTCAGGGATACTCTAGGCTGGTCCTACATTGAGCAAGGGGGTTGGACTAGATGGCCTCTATGGCCCATTCCAACTCTGTGATTCTGTGATGCTATAAAGCTTGGTTTACCAAATTATGCCACAAGTCCATCTAAAGCTCAGAATTGTCTGCTCTGACTGTCAGCAGCTCTCCAGGGTCTAAAGCAGAGAAAGGCCTCTCCCAACCTCTCTGAGGTACAGCTTCTCCCTTAAAATAATCACCATTTAGGGCTAGTCCTCTGCCTAACTCAGTATCCTTCACTCCAAATGACAGCAGCTCTCCAGGGTCTCTGGCACCCCCCCCCCTTTTCCAGTTTTTGACAGAAAGGTCTTTCCCAACACCTGAGATGCTTTACCTGGAAATGCCAGGGACTGAACCTCAACCTTCTGCATGAAAAGCAGGTGCTTTACCATTGAGCAGTCCTTTCCCTTTAGCCTTTGGGTTAAAAAGACAACCGGGGGGAAGGGGGGGAGGGTATATTGTCGCTCCACAGACAACTGATGCCACACTACCACTCAACTGCCACCTTTGCTGTTCCTGCATACGACTGCGTACACACGCACACGCACACACTAACCTTTCTTTCTCTGCAAAGTCATTTTGCAACTTCTGTTCCTTTTCGAGAGCTATGTTCTCAGCCTGGTTCTTCAGGGTCTGCTCATATTCCCGGATTTTCTCTTTAAGTGCTTTTATTGTCACCTCTGCAGGGGGAAAAAAGAGAGAGAAAGGAAGCCAACAGGAAGAGAGAAAATGAGTGGTAAACAACTCCACGTGGCCGCAGAGTACGCGGCTTTCTTTCACCCAGGGAGGCTGCAGCTTGCTTTAAACTTTAGCTCTTCAACCTTGACACAAAATCAATGGCTACAAGTCCCTTTGGAGACCTTTTACTCCCTAAATGTTAAATTGAACTTTAAATGTTTAAGGTTGAGGAGGATCAATGGAGTAAGCTGGGAAGCAGAACTGAGGTCTCTCTCGCCCGACTGTGGAACAAAAACGTCAGCTGCAAAATACCCTGCCACCTTGATCGCAAGTCCTAAATTAAGTTCCACTTTAAAATTCATGTATTCCCAGTGTGTGTCCCTTTTAAGTGGCACTTTCTTAACTTGGGGAGCCCCCGGTAGACAGGGCAACGTGCATAATTGCTCACACAAACGGGTGCCCCAAGTGAGCACCTTCTCCTTTGTACACCTCTTAGCTAAAAGCAGGCGATAAAGCCTTCCTTTGTGCTGCTCTTTTTCTGCCGGACCAGAGGGCACTGCTCACCACCTCGTTCTTACTCTTACAACAACCCTGTGAGGCCGGCTGGGCTGAGAGAGTGGCCCAAGGTCACCAAGCAAGCTTCCATGGCATGAGAGGAGATTCGAATACAGGTCTCTCAGATATTAGTTCATCCTTCTTAACCCAGGGGTGTAAAACATGCGGCCTGGGGGCCAGATCAGGCCCCCAGAGGGCTTCCATCAGGCTCGCAGTGCAACTGGCCATCTCCTGCTTCCAGTTCTGCTGCTGCATCATAGCTTGCTCTGGCAGACTCTCTCACTCACTCAGCCATTTCATGTTTTAACCTGGGTCCTAGACTCAGAACTCTGAGCATGAGATTTCTGTGGTGGATGTCAATAAATCAAAAGTAGGTTTGCAGCTTACAGAGCTAATGTTTTAAGCATGTTTTTACTTTAAGTTAAAAAAGCCTTTGTGTTTGTGTCCTTTATAAAGTTTATATCTCCGCTACCTGGCACTACATTTTATGACACACATGGCCTGGTCCAACAAGGTCTAATTTATGTCAGATCCAGCCCTCATAACGAATGAGTTCGACACCCCTGCTCTTAACCACTACGCCACATTGGCTCTCAGCTCTTCTGCTGAGCCACATGTTCGCAGATCAATGCTGATCGAACCATGCCTTTTTAGTCGTTTAAATTTTGGAACTGAATTATATTCATGCTTAATTTGGACTGTATGGGGGGGGGGGGTCAGAGTCTACAACACAGAAATTCTATGAAACAAATATGTACCATGGAGATCAAAACAGTTAACAATCACCGGCCACCTTTGCTGGGCTGAAGCTTGCAGGTGCCAAAGGAAAATTCTGCTCTTTCCGTAAGGCCCAGAATGGGATATTTTCAGGGCAACCACAGGTCTTGTGTAACGGGTAATCAGTTTTACAGCGAACAAGTTTTGTTTCCTGATGCAGGAAACATGCTTGGCTGCAAAGGCCAACAGACACACATGAACCTGGAGCGTTTTGAACGATGCGCGCTTACTCCTCCAGATAATGGCATTTCCATGTACAATGGCCACCTTTAACAGCGTGCCCATTACCTGAAATAACTAACCTACATTACTCCAATATCTGCACTCTGCCCTAGGGATAAACAAACTGTAACTACAGAGAATGCTGCAGATAGTTAAGTAATAGCAACATATTAATCTGGAAAGAAAGTGGTGCGTTGCTACACGTGCGCTCCAAATGGCAGACACAGCGCCAGTGGGAGCTGAGCTGGGTTCAAATATTAGTTGAGACACTGGGCTGGCCTTAATATGTTACACTGAAAAAGTGGTTGTCAGCTGATTCACGGAACTGATGAAGGTGAAGGGGGGTGGGAGCACAACCGACTTAATCAAGGCTGATGTTATGCCTGTGAATAACAGCCACCAGATAGGTTTTCAAACGGTGAATGTTATGAATATTCAGTGCTACCTATTCAAAAGCACTGAAAGGGAACGGCTTGTGGAACGGCCAGTTTTATTACTGCTAAGACCGTGTCTGCCCTCACATGGATGGCCCAGGCAAGCTCGATTTCATCAGATTTCGGAAGCTAAGCAGGGTCAGCCCTGGATAGGAGAAGAAGAACAGATTGGATTCATACCCTGCCCTTCACTACCCAAAAGAGGCTCAAAGTGGCTTACAATCTCCTTTCCCTTCCCCTCCCCACAACAGAAACCCTGTGAGGTAGGCGGGGCTGAGAGAGCTCTCTCAGGGACTGCCCTTCAGAGAACAGCTCTGAAAGAACTTGTGACTGACCCAAGGTCACACCAGCAGCTGCATGTGGAGGAGTGGGGAATCAAACCTGGTTCTCCCAGACTAGAGTCCACGCTCTTAACCACTACACCACACTTGGATGGAAGACAAAGGAAATCCAGAGTTGCTATACAGAGGCAGGCACTGGCAAACCACCCCTGTTCATCTGTTGCCTTGAAAACCCTACGGGGTTGCTATAAGTTGACTGCGACTTGACAACACTTTCCATCCATCACGATAGTGTGTGAATGTGACAGAGAGGAAAAGAATGTATGCACGCACAAACAATATGCTCCTATGCTGCTTGTGCAATACTGCATCCTCCTGTAAGATCCCTGCCAATGACAGCTGGGCTACCCTCTGCCAGTAATGGCAAGTAGGTTTCCCAAGAAGCATCGCCAAGCTCTTGACTTTCTCCCCCCACAAGATGCATTGTAACAGTTCATTTATATGGGAAGACGTACAAGGATGTAGCTTAAAGAGAACACAGGGATGGGTTGTTTTTTTTAACTTCCACCAAAAATCCCATGGCCCTCACCCCTTAAGAATCAAGCCAGCCCCTATATGCACAGCCATGCTTCAGATCTGGTTTCTCATTGACTCCAAAAAGAATGCAGAGAACTGGCTTTCTAAACAATACACATCTCCGGATTTTTTACCCCTTTCACTGAAGCATCACTGTTGCTCATCTTAAATATTCCTAAACCAAAGCTCACAGAGCATCCCCCCCCCCAACCACTTACCTTGATTTTTCACTTCTGCAAATTCTTTGTTGTATTCCTCGAGGGTTTCCCTAAGTTTCTGGTTCTCTGTTTCAATATCATGCATGCGCTGGACTTTCAGCTGGAGCTGCTGCCCCAGATCTAGAGCTGGAACGGGATCTAAAACGATAAAAAGACGACAATGCAGCTGGATTTCATGTTTCGGGCAGTCAAATTGGTTAGTGGCTGAAGCCAAAACTACTTAACACCAAACATGTTGCTGTCCCTATTGCAGAACATTTCCATTAACTTGGCATCCAGCATGAATTCATTATTGTTATGCAGCACTCGTGGGGAACGGGGGCTGCCAGTTAATCAAATGTGCGGCTGGGGAGACCAATAGCACCAGACAGGGAAAGGAGAGGGAGAAGAAACTTTAGACAACTTCATGTAAGAAGATGCCACTGCTGGCCACCAGTGGTGGTGTGGCTGGTGGAGAGCTGAGCAGAAAGCAGGACAGCTCGCCGGCTTGGAGGCAAGCCATGAAAATGTATGGCACTGCTTCATGCAGAGTCAGGCCACTGCACTGTTAGAACTGTCTCCTCCAACTGGCAACTGGTCTCTGAGTTTTCAGAGGGGAAAAAGTCTTTCCCAGCACCAGTTACCATAAATCAGGGGTCTCCAACACAGGGGTCGTTTCGTAGAAAAAGAGCTAGGGAAACTCATTAGCATAAGCCACACCCCCTGCCTTCACCGGAAGTGTCATAAGGCCACACCCCCTGACATCACCAGAAGTGTGTCATAAGGCCACACACCCCGCCCCCAACGGTCCCTGCTGCCGACACCGGCCTTGCAGCTCCACTGCCGAGCCCCATGAGGGGCCCGGCGGTGGACCTGCAAGGCCGGCAGGAGTGCAAGGAAGCCCCGTGAAGGCCCTCCCTGGCCCCAGGCAGGCAGGGGTAGGGGAGGCAGGGAGGAAGCAACTTACCCTCCCTCTTCTCCTGCCTCCTCCTGGCTGAATGAGGGCCGGAAGCGGGGTGGCCGGAAGCAAGGGGCGGGGCTTCGTCATGTGCCCCGCCCCCCCGTACCTCACCCGAGGGAACTGCGATCCCCCCTGAAACATTTCAAAGAATATGTTCATTAAACAGAGCTTCTGCCTGAAATGCTGATGACTTACCATTAGCATTGTGTATGACCTCACTCCTTCACAGTTTGTGACTGGCTCCGCCTTTCATGGCAGCCATTTTGTTGGCTAGCTCCTCCTCCCACAACAGCCATTTTTGGGCTTCACCCACCACCCTGTGTCAGAATTCCAAAAGTGCCCACAGGCTCAAAAAGGTCGGGAACCCCTGCGTTAAATCTTTTAACTGGAGATGCCAGGGATACACCAGAGCTCTGGTGTGTACTGTCATCCCATAGGAAAGACTGGCAAATGTCAAAGGCTGCACAGACTGCTTCTGACCAGGCCAAGGTGACACTTCACCATAAGAACCAAGCTCATATCACTAGCTCTTAACATATGGAGATAGATCAGGACGGGTGGCTGTGTGAGTCTGTCTGTAGCCACAGAAAAAGAGGAAGAGTCCAGCAGCACCTTAAAGACTAACAAAATATGCGGCAGGCAGTGTTCCCTCTAAGCTGAGTTAGTGTGAGCCAGCTCACAGCTTTTTAGCCTCCGGCTCACACATTTTTGTCTTCACTCAGGAGGGATGGCTCCAGAGCAAACTACTTCGTGCAGTGGCCAAATCGCTCGCTCACAACTTTAATGCCAATAGCTCACAAAGCACAATTTTTGCTCACAAGACTCCACAGCTTAGAGGGTATCTGAAGAACTGAGCAGTGACTTACAAAAGCTCCTACCCTGCCACATAATTTCTTAACATTATGGACTTCCTTAAGCAGTTGTGTCAGGGCAACTGTCAGACCTTTGACACAGCCATCGTAAACCAGCACAGGCCTCAAAAACCCCATGGCAAAAAAGGGAGAACAAGAGAAAAGGAAGGAGGGTGTAGACGACCTGCATCTACCTAGCAACCAAGAAGCTAGCAGTATAAAGGAAGCCATTTCGCTTTTGAGCTACATTGAAACCATTAAGCTTTTATAGTAAAGGTAAAGGTTCCCTTGCTCGAAAGCCAGTCGAGTCTGACTCTAGGGTTGTGGTGCTCATCTCCGTTTCAAAGCCGAAGAGCCAGCGCTGTCTGAAGAAGTTTTCTGTGGTCATGTGGCTGGCATGACTAAACACCAAGGCGCACGGAACGCTGTTACCTTCCCACTGAAGTGGGTACCTATTTATCTACTTGCAATTTTTTGCTTTCGAACTGCTAGGTTGGCAGGAGCTGGAACTAGAGACGGGAGCTCACTCCGTCATGCGGGGTCTCGAACTGAACTACCCGCAGTTCAGCATCTTAACCACTTGAGCCACCGCAGCTCCATTAAGCTTTTATACTCTGTAATAAACTGCATTTCTGTTTAAGTAAAAACGGCCACTTTATGTAGAAGACATGATCCTCTTTTATCTCACAGCCACCCCTACATGCACTGCTGACTGTTCTGTCATTCTGCCGAATATAACTAAAGCCATCCTGTTCTTCAGGTAAAACTAAGAGGTCCAAAGCGAGAACCTTTGGTGGCAGCAAAAATCACTAGGGGCTGATGAGGAAGTCCAGGAGGTGCATAATACAGGTCATTTCAGAGCACAACAGAGAGGTGCCATTACAGGTGTTACATACCGGTGGGTTACAATACAGGGGGTAAATATATTACACTGAGGTGGCTACCAAGTTTACATACAGAACTGCAGCCAATCCAGGTCAGCACACCAGGATGATGCACGTGCCTGCATGTGTACTTTTCACTGCATTTTCAAGTGCACACTGAAAGCAACAGAGCGCACTAAGGGGCCCTCGTGGTGCACCTGCCACGTGAGGGCCGTGCAAACCCACTGGGGAAGCGGCGGCCGAATCATGAGCTGAGCCAGCCGAGGCAGGAGAATGCTGGAACCCAGAAGGCCTCGTAAAAGATGACTGCATACACTGCTGCCATGGGCGCCAGCATCACTTGTGAAATGGCTGCAAAGATTTAGTCTCCCGTCGAGGAATGTTAAACACGCCAATCTCCGAGGATCAACAACGGTACATATTAGGGAGCTCGCTTAATTTGCAGCCGCCACAATCATTAATTTTGCGGACCACCCTCAGCTCACCGGGAAGGCTTAGTAATGCCATTGTGCCTCTCTCCCAACACGCAGAGGGCAAGCTCAGGCACTTTGCGACGTGTCGGTCCAGCACCAGAGTTTACAGAAGAGCGGAGCTGGGTTATGTTGAGAAGAGAGGTGCCGGGTGTGCTGCGTTGTGTTAGTTTGCTTGCCGAGGGCTTCCTGGCTTGCCATCTCCGTACGGCTTCTCTTCTGCCCTCCTGGCCACATGCATACTTTATAACTACATCGTTTTCTCATTTCTCGTTTTTAGGCTAGAGGGTTTTTATATATATATTATTAGCACTGTTAAAATATTCATTTCACGATAGGCCTTTAAAAAAAATTTATTTAACACAGTGAAGACTTTTGAGCAATTATCAAGGTTTAACTTCAATGGCGACTCTGGGAGGCGAAGCTGCCTTCAGGACTCTGCATGAACAGGCTGCGTGGACCCGGTTGGCTAAAACGGACCACGCTGCCCACTGTCACGGTGAGGCCAGGGACAGCTATACCCGGAACAAGATATGGCGTGGATGTTCTCCAACCCCAATGCTAACCCTTTTGAGTTGTTTCCCTCTAAGCTGTGGAGTCTTGTGAGCAAAAAGTGTACTTTGTGACCTACCCGCATGAAGGTTGTGAGCGAGCCATTTGGCTACAGCATCAATTAGTTTGCTCTAGAGCCATCCTTCCTGAGCTAAGACAAAAACGTGTGAGCCGGTGGCTAAAAAAACTGTGAGCTAGCTCACACGAACTCAGTTTAGAGGGAACACTGGACAGGAGTCATCCATGTGGTGCCCATGGGTACCATGGTACCTGCCAAGTGTTTTTAGGAAAGGGGGGCAGGCAGGGCTTTTGACGAGCAAGGCCTCTGATTGACTTGCCAGAGATTTGATAAGGCCGTGCAGATTTTTTAAAACGTTGCTTTGGCTACACTCTGTGACTGGAGTGAAGCCATGGCAATCGTTTTGTGGCTGGCTCCGCCTCCTGTGGCAGCCGTTTTGTGGAAGCCGTTTTGTGGCTGTGCCCGCTGTCCCAAGGTCACCCAGCCGGCTGCGTGTGGAGGAGTGGGGAATCAAACCTGGTTCTCTGGATTAGAGTCCGCTGCTCTTAACCACTACACTAAATTGACAGCTGCTGCCAAGCCAACATTTAAAAGTATCTGAACAGCCAGTCAAATCTCCAACAGGCAATCAGAAGCCTTGCTGGGCAAAAGCCCTACCGGGTCCCACCCCACTTCCAAGAATCACTTGGCGGGCACCAGAAAAGGTATTGGTGGGTGCCACAATGCCCAAGGACACCATGTGAGGGACTCCTGGTTTGGACTATGGTAGGTTTCCTAAAACGTTTATTTTTCCCTCCTACACTGCCAGGACTAAAAACTGGGCTTACTAAATGAATAATAATAATGCCCCGGGACCCTCTTTTTGAAAAAGATCAGCTTATCTAAGATGCTCATTTTGAAGGACCCACAAGAATCTTAAAATCAAGAACGGGTTTTGTGGGCTAAAATTAGCCAGGAATGTAGATTAGTCTCCCTCTTCCCCTTCGCTCAACATCTACATTATAAAATGAATAATGACTAAACCTTTAGTCAATAAATTCCCAAATCCCTGGGAAGCATTATATCGTAAATGAAAACGTTGGCACTCTCATAATTATTCATCAGGATATGTATATTTAATTTAGCTCTATTAAAGGTTAATGTCAGAGAAGCAACACAGTCGCAGAATCGAGTATGAACAGAATGTTAAAGCCGTCTCCTCGCATTAAACTCCAAACTTTGTTTAAGCCGAGATGAATGATTAAAACGCTGGCAGCCTTTGAGTGTTGTTTTGGGATATGTTAAAAAGGCCAGGCTGGAACATCTTTCTCTAGTTTAATTTTTATGGTTTCCGTTAAAGAAAAAAGGGGGAAAAAACTAATCATCTCATAACAATTACAACAACCGGGGCATGATTCAGCTTACACACAAGCCCAACCAGTC